CACAGCCCTCAGACAGCCCACATGGACACGCCTCCCCCACCACTCTCACTCCCAGTGGCCTGTGTGGTTCCCGCATGTGGCGACACGGAGCGGATCCAAACTCACTGAGGTCAGCGTCAGATAGCTGCGAGGCTAAGGCCCAGGGGTGTCTTCTCACGTGGGACTGGGACCGTCAGGCCAGCTCTGCTGTGTCCCCTCTCTTCCTGGGGCCACTTCCTTTCAGACGCAGGTGCTGGAGGACATGTGTGTTCTGTTTCCTGGCTTCTCCTGACTGTTTGGGTTTTGTGGGCTATGTGAGTTATTGGTTTCAATAAATCTCTCAATAGTCAGTGCTCATAGTGATCAAGCACAAATCAACGGAAATACAGAATAATTTGCAAACAATTTGGCTATTACTTCAAATATTTTATTTCACTACCTTAAAGAGTATCTTCCCTTGCTTAATAGATATGTTGACACAGTGCAAACTGGTTCACCAAATTTCAAGAGGAGATAAGGCCATTTTCTTATAACAAAAGAGGAACACAATGATGAAAAAGTGAGCGAATAACAGAAGTGTGAGCTAAGTGAGGTGCTGTCTCCCGGCTGCTCTAACACTTAATGTCGGCTTAGAGTTAGCTGTGAGGCCCCAGTGCGGGCCACGCACCCTCATATCTGCGGAGCAGACGCACGACCTTTTCATGGGCAGTGGGGACCACACAGGGCAGACGGCCAGCCTGAAGCGGCTCAGATTCTCACTCAAGAAGACCAGGGCGGGGCCGGCCGAGTGGCGCGATGGTTAAGAACTGGCTTGGGATGCCAGAGGGCCCCGGTTCGGATCCCACATATGAGGGCCAGTGACACTGCCCTCCACAGCTAAGATGCTGAACAACAGCTCAACCTGGAGCTGGGCTGCCATGAGTCGCCAGCGATGGCGTGGGCTGCAGACCCTGTGGCAGTGGGTTGCCATGGGCTACTGTGTGTAGCCAGCAGCGGCCGTGAGCGGCCAGCAGCCGCAGTGAGTGGCCGCCCAGAAGCCGGCGACTGATCTGCCTCACCCGGGAAGAGCGCAATGACGGTGCAACTTGGGCCAGTGAAGCAACGTCCTCCACAACTAGACTGAAGACCAAAATGATAGCAACTTGTCTGTTCCCCTTCCCGATTCCCCAAAAAAATCTTTAAGAAAGAAAGAAAGAAAGGGAGGAAAGAAAGACAGACAAGACCAGGGCGCCGGGGGCCTGGAATGATGACCCCTGGATTCCCAGAAGCACGCATGTGACCACAGCCCCCTGTAAGCACGGCCGACAGCAAACCGGACGACGGCGGTCCTCTCGCCTGAGACCCTCCCATCGGCTTCCCGCGGCACCAGTGGAGGCCCAAGCACTCCCGCTGGTCAGGCACCCCCCCCCACCCTTCTCAGGCACCCCCTCTTTCACCCAGGGCAGGTCGCATGCCAGTCCCCAAATACCCCCTAACAAGAGCTCCTCTCCCTGAGCGTTTTCGCGACGGGTCCTGCCCGTCACTTGGATGTCAGTTTACGTGTGACCTCCTCAGACCATCTCACCTGAGAAGCCACTCTGAAGTGTGGCGAGGACTCTGTCCTCAAGTGAACTGCACAGGCCCTGTGAGCCCTCTTTTCCACAAGGCTGTGCTCCGGGGCCCAGTCTCAGTCCACCTGAGGAGTCCCAGCAAAGAGGCCGCTAAGCTACGGTCAAGGCTCTCATCACCCTGATGTCCATGTCCAGCTCAGCCTTGAACAAGAACCCTCCTGGGCCAGTTCAGCACGAAGCTCCCCGCCCTCCGAGTCTCCCCGGAGCATCCCCTGCCCCCCGAGCCCTCTGTCTGCTCAGGGGCTGCACCACTGTCCCTGCCACGTTGGGGACGGACTCAGCTCTGCCTCGCGGTCAGTCACATCAAATAAGAGCCAGCGCTTAAACTCGGTCCGACTCTGCTTCCCTGACGGTAGCCATCGTCTCCTGGAATAAATTGTCCACAGGCCCCACCCCTTGACATCTCTGCGACGGCTGCTTTGTTGGTGGCCCCTCCCCACCCTGGGTGCAAAGCTTTGGGGGGGCTCGTCTCTCTTGACGGCTGCTTCCTCCTGGTGCTGAGCCCAGAACAGAGCCTGGCAATGGCCACACTGAACGTTTTGTTGAGTGAAACAACTTAAAAATCCTGTCTTCATGGTTTATCTGAAGAAGTATGAAAATGGCCATCAGAGAAAGCCGAAAAGTTAGCAGACACATAAGGTTCGTTATAAAAAGGCAGAAATAAATACAACAAATATTAAAAGTTGTTCCCCCTGGTTTCTTCTTTATAAGTGCCTGTGCTTCCCACACTCCATAAGTGTGTGCGTTACTTTGAAAGTCAGAAAACTCTACAACAACGCTGGAGGGTCAAAGCAGTTCAGTGAGTCGCCATCTGAGCTGGTTTAAATGTGTCCGTCTGTCCAGGAGAAAGCTTCCCTTGCTGTGTGTTCTCAGGCTGTCGACTCTGTGCCAAGACACGGCGGCACAATAAAAACGTAACAGCTTTTCACAGGGAAAACCATCCAATATGGCACTTCCTTCTAAAGCCTGACAGATTTTAAGAAAACTGAGCGAGTTATAAAATGGAGGAAGAGGAAGGGGACGCCAGACGTCTTGAGCCACTGAGATGTCACACTGTCTGTCTCGGGGACCTGAGAGCAGGCACAGCTGTCCTGTGTAATCTGAGCGGCCGTGAGTGCGACACTCACAGGATGGGGCTCTCGTAGGTGCTCAGGTGTCTGGGCACCTCCTGCTGGCTGCCGCTCACTGCTCGCTGACAATTACCGGTGCGGAGCCATTCTTGTCCACATGAGTAAGGACAGTACTGCCCATCACGTGATGTGGGGAGCCGTCAGCGAGGGCAAAATGCAAAATAACTTGTCCTCATTTCTGCAGTTAGAGAAAAGCTCGTGGCATGCACCGGGCAAGGTCTGCCCCAGGGCCTTTTCACAGGCCGTGCGCGCCTCTGCCTGGACGCTTGTCCCCAGACAGCTGAACGGCTTGAGCACTTGATTCAAACTTCATTCTCGGTGAGTCACCCTGACCGACTACTCAACACGGACCCCATCGCCCCAGCTCTCGCGTCCTGCCTTCTCTTCCCACTGAGTAATGACCACAGTTGGACATCCGCCTCTGGCCGTCCACCCAACCACCCATCTCCATGGGGGCAGGACTGCTGGTCTGCTGTGTGCTGACTGTCCCAGGACGCCACTTTGCTGAGTGGCTGAGTGACCTGGGAGGAGGGGCTGCCACCGCGGATTTCGACATCGTGTCTGAGGTTGAGTGTGTCTGTGACTCACAGCCTGCGGTACAACCAGAGACGTCTCTCTGGTGCGGAAACAAGGGCCCGGCCGCTGGCAGTCCCGCGGCTGCTTCTGCAGCTCTCCCGCGTCCTTGGGAGAGGCGAACCCAGCCTGCCGTGAGGCAGCCGAGGACTCGGGACCCTGGGAGCCTGCCTGCTGACGCTGCTCTCAGTCCCACAGCTTGGGGACCGTCCCCAGCACACAACCTCTCCTTGTCTGGTCAGGCCATTCTGCATAGGGAGCCCCAGGAAAGCCGTTCTTGCTTTTGTCTGTGTGTCTGTCCATGCCGGACTTTGGTCTCCTAGAGGAAACAGAGGCGGCCAGCTTCATTTTCTACAAACAAGGACTTTCACAGAAGGAGCCTGATTAAAAACAAACAAATGACAACTCCGCTCCACGAGAACTACAAACCCACTTACTTCCTCTTAAGCCTAAGCGAGAAAAGTGGCCTGGGAGCCACAGTGGTCGTGCCGTGTCACTTCTCCTGGGCTGACTCGAGCCCCCCAAATCTGAGCTGGAGTCCTGACCCCAGGACCTCAGAACATGGCTGCATTCGGAGATGGGTCTTTAAAAGCATAATGAAGTTAAGTGAGGTAATTAGGGCGGACTGAGCCCTGACGAGAAGGGGAGGTGACAACAGGGACGTCCCACATGTGGAAACACGACGACACAGCGTGAGCCAAGGAGAGGCCTCCCCAGAACCCAGCCTGCCCTCCTGACCTCAGACTTCCTGCTTCCGGAGCTGTGAGAAAGTCAAGTTTTCATCTGAAGCCACCGTCTGTGGTACTTTGTTGTGTCACAATAATCCAGCCAACAGGAAACACCACAGACTTTTTCAGGGTAAAATGCACGTTAAAGGGCAGATTTACACTGGGGTTACTCCGTTCTCGCTCCAACCAGATCCCTTAGTCAGCTGCTGCTTCAATGCTGCACATCCCCTTAAGGGCCCAGAAGCCCCCCTGAAGGGCAGGACCCCGAGAACTTGCAGGTAGGGACGGAAACTGGGTGCTCCTACGTATGACAACAAGAGAGCCGAGAGCTTACCAGGGAGGGGCTGACACACCCGCTGCAGCACCAGCTCTCACTTCTACACCACAAGTGCTGTGGTTGACAACGAAACTGACAAAGCTGGGACAGGTTTTTCCCAAATCAGGAAAACAAGTGTCACAGAATCTCGCGTATGTGACTGCAGTTGTTCCTACCTTTTTTCCCCTTTGTTCCTTTCTTCTATTTTTCTTACATTCATCAAGTTTTTATTTTAAACATTATTGTTCTATTTTATAATTCATGGGGAATAATATTCTAAAATAGTTTTACTAGTTTCTGGAACAGAGCCAGTGATTATAAGGTAAACTTTACAAGTGAGGTGAAGAGTAATTTAGTAGCTGAAATACGGAGTCAGTTCTGTCTGTCCAGTGTCATTAGCTGCAGCTGAACAATCGCTAAGACACATAAAGGCACTACCCACCCAATAATACCGTATATTTTTTAAATGTTAGCATATATGGAATTGCTATTTTTGGAAAAACTGTAAAAACTTTAAAGAATCGAATATAAGCAAGGCTAAAATTAGGTACCTACTTGTTATTGGTTGCAAATACTAGACTATTAAATAGACATTTTATTATGGTAAAAATACGTAACATAAATCTTTGGATTAGTATCAAATACACTGAAAACATTTCCTCACCAATATTGGGGTGCTTCAGAAGACGGCAGATTCTAGCTTCCCTTTCCAGTTTCTGATGGTCTGTAAAAAAAAAAAAAAAAAAACCAAAAAAATCAGAAAAATAAATCACAACTTTGGCAAAAAAAGATTAAAAGACAATAAGCAGTGTACCAAAGTGACAGGCTGAACATTTACTTGTTCTTTGATTTCTGTTTAAAAACCAATAACTTGAATTCGGAATTGCATGGACATTACAGTTTTTAACAATCTAATTTTCCTTATTTGTCCATTGGATTGATGCAAAAACAGTGAAAATGGCACAGAACGACAGTCTTCTTCCTTACCTTCCCCCTAAGTGTGTGTGACTACAACCGCTTGCACAGCCCCGTGCAGACGCACATTCGAGCAGAGGACGCGTGTCTGCAGCCTGGGAAGCCGGGGGGGACCGAAGGCCAGAGGGCTCAGGGCGCTTGTCCCCGTGCAGCGGGGCTCCAAGTCCTGTCGTTTCTCTCAGCCACTGACCTGTCACTTCCCTCCTCAGAGCAAGGACTTCCGACAACCCCACTGCTGCCCCGCTCCCGTCTGCTTCCCGCCCAGGCCTCTGAAGGGGCGGGTCCACACGCGTGCACAGGTCACCCAGGCCACCGGCCAAGGCACAAAACAAACGGCGGCGAGAGGCGGGGACCCGGCAGAGACACGTGTGGCGGAAAGGACAGCAGGCAGAGCACTCACTAGATGAGACACAGGTTCCTGGCTTAGGCCTCGTGACGGCCCTGAGACAGGCGGTGAGGTCACCCCTCGTTTACAAATACGGAAACGACCTCACAGACAGGTTGGCTTGTCTTAGATTATAAAGCGAGGAAATGCATCTTCCAATCAGCTCTCAGTAACTCAGGTCAGAAAACAGCCTCAAGAGAACGCGGGGGCGCCCACCTCGCCACCCACACACCGTCCGTACCAGCGCCCTCACTCTGCTCAGAGCCTGTCGTGCTCTTACGAATCACGAGAGCTTGTTGCATCTGGCTTACATCTCTTAATATTTACTCCATGAGAAACAAAACTGAGAACATGTTAAATATATATTTAATTCATTTAAAAACAGCAATCAACCCATTACATATTAACATAAGTGACTGCCTTTACATTTTTTATTTGTAAATAATTTAAACAGAAAACTTGAATAATATTTAAAAACATGTATATAATTTATCTAGATATATCCTTGTTAACACTTCACCCGTTTTTAATCACTTATGCTCCCCTCCCCATGTGTACGTGTATGTATGTATACATACATTTATCTGACACACGTGTACATAAATATACACGAATATATATTAGTAAATGTATACTTATCCCTGAAATAGTTTTTTCTAAACCATTTGAAGGTAAGTAATTCAGGAAAGTATTTTAAACATAAAGCTATTAATAGGTCAGAAAGAAAGAGTGTTGAGTGAATCGGCCCAGCCCTGGATAGGATCTGACAGCACCGTTATCTCTGGGTTACCAAATGTGAAGAAGGCTCTCTGGCCTTATCACCATCTAAAACTACACATACTTCAAATAAATGTAAGTTCTTCAACCCCCCATAACTCCTCAACATGTCCTCATTCTTAAGATAAGCTACTTCTAGAATAGTCTTATTTAGAAACATGCAAGTAAACAGAAAAACCAGATTCTGAAAATGTACCTAAAACCACCTTTAAACTGTAAAGCATCATATATAAAACATGAAAAATATGCTTATAGGATTTATAATCTTGTTATAAAGGGATATGCAAAAATATATGCAAAACCACTATAGATACACACACACACACACACACATATATATATATATATATATATATATATATATATATATATATATATATATATATATATATATATATATTGGGTTGTCGGAAAAGTCATGATGTATTTTGTGTATGTTTTGCAAAGGTCATTTATATAAAGAACAAAGATCAATCAATGATGTATTGCCTGTTTTGTTTGATAACCTTTTGCCATCTTTCTGTGAGCTTCATAATCCCTCATTCATAGAAGGGCCTGTCTTTATTTGTGAAAAACTGAACAAGGTGCTGATTTACAGCCTCATCTAAATTGAACGTTATACCACGCAAGGAGTTTTGAAGAGAGCGAAACAAGTGGAAGTCTGACGGCGCGAGGTCAGGCGAGGATGGTGGGTGTGGCAACACATCCCATCCAAACTCCAATAATTTTTGACGGGTGATCAAACTTGTGTGTGGTCTCGCGTTGTCACGATGGAACAAAACTCCTTTACAATTAACAAGCTCTGGATGTTTCTGGATGATGGATTCATTCAAACTGTCCAATTGCCGGCAGTACACATTTGAATTGATTGTTTGGTTCCTTGGTAGGAGCTCGAAAAACACGACACCTTTAAAATCCCACCACACTGAGAGCATAACCTTCCTCTGATGAATGTCTGCTTTCGATGTGGTTTGAGGCGAATCATCACGTAGGGACCAAGACCGTTTGCACACCAAATTGTTGTAAACAGTCCACTTCTCATCACCAGTTATCAGTCGCTTCAAAAAGCATCGTTTTCCTCACGTTTAATGAGCACATTGCTGATGTTTATACGCGCCATCAAATTAACTTCTTTGAGTTCATGCGGAACCCAAGTATCAAGCTTGCTTACGTATCCCAGCTTCTTCAGGTGGTCATGAGCACTTGAATGATGGATGTTCAATGTTTCTGCAATCTCTCGTGTCGTGTAACGTGGTTTGACTCGATCAATGCCTTTATTTTGTTGTCATCAACCTCGGTGGGCCTCCCTGACCGAGGAGCGTCATTGAGATCAAAATCACCAACATGGAATTTCGTAAACCATCGTTGGCACTGACGTTCTTGTAGAGCATTGTCACTGTAAACTTTATGCAACTTTTCACAAGCTTGACACGCATGCTTACCTTTATGGAAGTAAAACAGTAAAATATGGCAAAAATGCAGTCGGGTTTTCCATCTTCAACTTGTTGTAAAATCTACAAAACTCAACCAAATCGCTCAATTTTTGTTTAGAATGAATCTAGACCTGTCAGCTGTCAAATGACATAGAAGCGAATGTCTCTAATACTTCCAAAAATGAACTAGTGCCATCTGCCGCAAACATGCATCATGACTTTCCTGACTACATATAATATATAATATAATAAATGTAATACAATATAATCACCCATATAGATTAATATACATAATAATCTGACATATATAATTGTTAAAGAAAAGCAAGCTCACAAAAGAACTTTATTGGTAACAGTGGTTTAGTTTTGGCTATGGACATAATTTCAGAGTTTTATACAGACTATACTTACAGGCTGAACTGTGTCCCCCTAAAATTCCTATGCTGAAGCCCTGACCCCCCAGGACCTCAGAATGTGACTGTTTGGGGACGGGGTCTTTACAGAGGTAACATGAGGTCACTGGGGTGGGGCCTGATCCAACAGGACTGTGTCCTTGTAAGAAGAGGAGGCGAGGACACAGACACGCACAGCGGGACGGCCACGCGCGGACACGGGGAGCAGACGGCCGTCCACACGCCAAGGTGAGGGGCCTGGGAAGGAAGCAGCTCTGCCGACAGCTGGACCTCTGACTTGCATCTTCCAGGATTGAGGATGTAAATTCCTGCGGCTGAACTCTGTGAGGGCAGCCCTGGCTGACGAACACACCGACGTGTCAGTTTTCTATTGTTACAGGACAAATTGCCACACACATGTGTTTCTGAGGGTCACGCTTGAACTGCGCCCTTTGCTGTAGGGTCTCAGGCTGCTGTGCAAAGCTTCAGTCGGGGTTCAGGTTGGGGTGTCAGCCACAGTCCAGCCACGGAAGGATGTGTACCCGGCCCACATAGTTGGTGGCAAGCCACTCAGTTGAGAGGGGCTTTGTTCCCAACTGTCTGTGGGCTGGAGGCTGCTTACAGTTCCATGTGCTGCTGGCACACGGCAACTGGCTTCATCAAAGTCCCCCAGGCAGAGTCTGCTGGCGAGAGGCAAGCCGCTGCCACATCTTGGTTAATCTCCAAGGGACAGCTCATCACATGACCCACATTCCACTGGTGAGATGCAAGTCCCTGGCTGGCCCACTCTCACGGGAGGTGATTCCCAAGGGCAGCATACCTTCGGGGCTGCTGCCACGGCCGCCTGGACAGCTGCCCGGTGTCCCCAGGAGCCTTCTCTCTGAAGCAGCTTCACGGACACAAGTTAGTGACATCCTATGAACCCTGAGGGGCTTGAACTCTCCCACAGGGACTGGGGCGCGTCTTGAATCCCAAGCATGATGACAGAACGGAAGTTTCCATGACAGCTGGAGTGTAGTAACAGTGGGAGCGCGTCACCCGGTGTGCTGTCAGCATCCCATTCACAGCTCTGCTTTAGAGGACAAGGAGCGATGGAGGTGAGACCGAGGGCCCATTCCCCAAAGTACATTCTGTATCTATCCTGCTGGCGAGGTGAATTCCTGCCCCACTCAAAACTTCCTTTACCTTTGATTCAGTCGGCAACGAAACTCGTAGGACCCACGTCACCATCCCAGCTCGCACGGCCACAGTGGTAGGAGGCAGACGGAGCGGAAAGGCCAGAACCCGTGGCACAGACCGTCCTGCGAAGGGGTCCTTTCGCTCTCCACACGGCCTGCAGCCGCTGGGAGCCAGCTCCACTCACCACCTCACCCCCACTGCAGTGCCCAGGCTGCCAGCACGTCCAATGCTGCCCTGGGAGCCCGCGCCCACACTGCGAGGGAACATCACCCACCCGCCGCGCTGTCAGGTCCGGTGAGATCCACGCTGCCGACCAGGCGTGGTTGAAGACCCGCCACAGAAACAACACCCGAAGGAAAAGCACCACCAGCACCGCCACTATTGTCATTAAAAATCTGCAGTTTTAAGAGATAAATTCCTGAAAATCCATTAAAAAGGGTATTGATGTTATCCAATGTTCCTCTCACATGTGCTCTACTATAGCATGAAAGTAACTATTTTCTATAAAATCATATAATCATGCTATTCAGGCCACTGGTCATTGAATTAGTGGGAGAACCACTGGTATCTATGGTTAGAAAGA